CAGAAGCTCTCTGAGTCTTGACAACTTGGTATGGTAGTGTTGTATTTGTCCCCGAGGCCCTTGTGGTTACTTTTGTTTTAGCACTGATCTTAATATTCTGAAATGTTTAAATCTTTGCCTCAATCTCTCTCCAACCCGGAGGGCTGATTGGTGCCTGGTTTTATTCTATACCTCAGTGTCTCCAATGCTTAGCATGGGGTGTGGCACAAAACAGTTGATCATCAAAACTTGAAAAAATGAAGCCACACATTAGTGAAAGTCCCACATTAAGTGTTTGCCTCTTCTACATTTGCTTGCAGGGATGTGTCAGCCAGAGTTGCTTTGTAGTGACTGTAAATGAGGTCAAGCTTTTCTATCCCTAGAATGCTTAGCTGGCCCAACCTAGGAAGTGGAGGAGTGAGGGCCTGAATTTTAGAAACTCTGAGGGTGATCTTGTATACAAGATTGACGTGGATAGGGTGGGTTTGGAGTATCACTGTCCCATTTGGGATAATAGACTGAGCTGTTCATCTTTCCAGTTTCATCTTGGCTCTTCGATAGAGTGTACAATTTCCTGTAAGAGCCTCTTTGTTGATCAAATCCATGCAAGGTGAAGGAGGCTGCAGAGGTAGATAACTTAGGTGGAAGTGATGCTGAGGCTACTTCCTGGTTAGAGTATTAGGAAAGGGGCTCCCTCTCCAAGAACTGAGTGATGATTTCCTATGGTCCTTACCGGCCACATGTTGCTCCCTTGAGATCTGCTTTCCTGCTTTGGGCTTGAGGGCAGGATCCAGGGGTTCTCCAGTGTGTCTGTGCTTCACCAAGGAGACTATCTTGAAAATAATCCCATAGAGGCTTACAGTAACACTAGTACCTCCTGCTCCACTGCTCTCGGTGTGGTTCTAATTAAAAAGAGGAGAGAGATGAAGTTTTCTAATCTATGTTGTTGAATCTGTCCTTGATAATGGGAACATTGGGGTTGGAAGGGAAGGATGGTGTCCCAAGACTCATCTATGACAGTCATGTTTATTGCTTTATTGGTTTCCATTGTAAGAATATTCTTAGACCAGGTGTCCAACTACCAAGCTTGCAGAAGCTGCAACATGACTAAAGATAGAAAGAAGAGGAATAAACACACTTGCTATTGTATAGATTTGAAAGTTTTGGGTTTACCTGTCATCTGGTAAACCCTGTAAGTGATCTTTAACTTCCTGGAGCCTTATTTTTTTTCACTCCTTAACATAGAATGGATACACAGGACTCCTTCTATATAGTGTTATTGTCAGTTTTGAGATAGAACTTATATTTACATAGTGTCTTTATATATTCATAGTATTTATATATTGAGAAAAATCTGTTCTGGTATAATAAAGACAAAATTGAGGTTGGGGTCGACTCTGTTATCTTGGGTCAAAATAGTTAGGGTTAATGGCCCCTAGTCTTATTTCCTGGTGAGTTTTCTGTGGGTTTATGAAAATGAGGGGATTTGTGTGTGAATTTGGGCTGCTGATGGGAGCTGAGCAGGCATTACTGATGGAATCTTAACTGCCAGAGCGGATGGAGAAAGAAGATTGAGGGCTCAGTGAATTTTCACTCTGTAGATCTAGGGTCACCTGCTTTCTCATTCCTGAGAAAGGACTGGGTTGTTCTTCATGGTTTTCTGAGAAACATTCCTGGGATTCTCTAAGATAATTCTACTTTCCTTTTTTACAGGGAAATCTCAATTGTAGGGTTACTTTCTGGGGATCAGGTCAGTGTATGTATTTTATAAAGAAAAAGAGAAGAAAAGTATACCTTTTTTTTGGTTTAGTTTTGCTTTTCAAAATTGAATGACTTAGCTCCAACTTCTTTCAAGCCCCAATCATCTTTCTGAGTGTATACAAATGCTTCTGATTACTAACAGCTGCTCAGACTGAATATCCATCTGACAGTTATTGGTGCATTTCTTCCCTCTTGAAGGGACTGCAGGAAGTGATGCTTCAGAGCTGCGAAGTCTAAGGGGTGACAACATGGGCTCTGGCAGGCTTCCTATCCTCTCCTTCATTTCATCCCTGCAGTGGTCTTTGCGGCTCTAGCCTGATATTTTACCTCCAGTAATAGCTGTTTGCTTTGTGCTGCCATGGCACTTGCCTTCCAGGTCAGTGAAATCTCTATTTCAATTTCTGGAATCTTTGAGCCATGTCTCACTTGGCTTTGTAGATTGGTTGCTGGGTCTATGTGTCAAGCAAGAGTATGTGCACTGAGAAGGAATGAAAATGAAAGGGGTTTGGAAATCTCATGTGTTTTCAGAGATCTTGTTCCTCATTTTTATGGGAAAAAGTGCAATAGGTACTGTGGTTCAGTTTTTACAAGTTTCTTTGCAATGTCTTGACTCACACTATAAAGTTCTTATTATTCTGAGCATTGATTTATAGCCAAAGACTACTCAGGATTCTTTTGTTGTGAAAGATTTATTTAGTTGGATGGCAAAGTCAGAGAAAGCAGAAGAGAGAGAGAGGGAGAGATCTTTCATATGTAGGTTCACTTTCCCAATAACACCAATGACCAGCATTGGGCGAGGCTGAAGTCCGGAAGTAGGAACGCCATCTGGGTCCTCCCGGTTTGGCAGGGGCCATCATCTGCTGCCTTCTAAATGCTGAGGATTTCTGCATGCCACATTACTCTTACAGGTGATAGAGTTGCATTCAATAAATCACAGTCCACTCCCAGTATGTTTCCTAAAGTAGCACAGTTTTTTTTTTTCCTGTCATTGCCCTGCTCTACCGTATCTGTTCATGGAAAATTGTTGGATGGTAGGAATGTCTGGAGTGCCAGAGCCTCTTTCTGATGTCTACATGTGAGAAATTTCAGGCTACCTTTCTCCTAGGGATAAATTATACTTCACCTCTGTTTTCTATTTGTATAATTCAAGACTGAAACTGACTTCTTTTTTGTATAGTCTCTCATGACCTCTGGCTCTCCAGGTGAAAAAGAGGACTTTTCTGTTTGACTTTAAAGATTCCTCTTCTTTTTTTCCCTAAAGATTTATTTTATTTATTTGAAAGGAAGAGTTACAGAGAGATAGTTGAAAGAGTTCTTTCAGTTGATGGCTCATTTCCTACATGATTACAGCAATCAGAGCTGGGTCAGACCAAAGCCAGGGGTCAGATCTTTCATCCTGGTTTCCCATGTGAGTACACTGGTCCATCTTTTGTTGCTTTCCTAGGCAAGCTAGCAGGATCAGGATAGGAAATGGGACACCCAGGAGTTGAACAGATTCCTGTTCTGAAGTTAAGATCACCCTGTACTAACCTTATCAAATTTCTTTTATTCTTTTTAATTCTCTATAGTTTAGACAACTGGAAATTTCACCTACCCTCTTAGCTACATTGTCCTCATTAAATGCTTATTGGAACATCATCTATTGATAAATTATTTTCCTCTTCATCAAACATTAACTAAACACTAACTAATAAATATGGTAGGGTTTCTGCATTAAGGAGTTTATAATTCAGGGAATATAAATAAAGAAAAAGTTGCAGCTATTATAATGAGGGTGGTAAATGCATGAAAAGTAATCTAAATAAAACTGTTTGGAAGCACAGAACAGGAAATATCAAATTATTCCCAGGGGAAAGAGGCTTAGAAAAAGTAGCCTTGGGCAGAGCAAACCAGGACTTGAAAAATGAGTGTGGAAGTGAATGAAACAGGTCTGAGAAAAACAGCTTTTCTTACAAAGGATTGATGAATACAAAAGATAAAAAGACCCTGAGTCCCACAATGGATTCTACATTTGTGAAGCAGCATGGAGCAAATGGAGGAAGCATTGGGAAGGAACCTAGGGCCATACAAGACACTGAGACAGACTCACAGAGACTTCTTTTTCTTTTTCTTTTTTTTTTTTTAAATACTCAGCTTCATTTTCCACTCGATGTTGGGTCCAAAGATTGTTAGCATATATATATTTATTTATTTTTCAAAGATTTATTTTATTTTTTATTGGAAAGGCGGATATACAGAGAGGAGAGACAGAGAGGAAGATCTTCTGTCTGATGATTCACTCCCCAAGTGAGCACAGCGGCCGATGCTATGCCAATCCGAAGCCAGGAGCCTCGCCTGGGTCTCCCACGCAGGTGCAGGGTCCCACTTTGGGCTGTCCTCGACTGCTTTCCTAGGCCACAGGCAGGGAGCTGGATGGGAAGTGGGGCCGCCGGGATAAGAACCGGTGCCCACATGGGATCCTGGGCATGCAAGGCAAGGACCCCAACCACTTGCGCCACCACACTGGGCCCAACTCACACAGACTTCTTAAGTTTATTGTTTATGTTGGAAGCAATTTTGAGTTTCAAGGGTATTTTTTCTGAAACACCGTCCAGTGATGTTTTAAAAATAATTTAAAAAATATTTGGAAGAAAAATAGATTTAGATGCATGTATACACACACACACGGATAGGGAGGGGGCAATTTCTCAATCTGTTAACTCAATCCACTAATTTGGTACCAGCAAAACCCAGGATCCAGGAGCCAGGGTTGCCCTCTGGATCTCCCATATGTGTGGTAGAAGGACTTGTGTCATCATTTGCTGCTTTCCTGCTACATCAGCTTGGAGCTAGACTGGAAGCATGTAGTAACTTGGACTCAGTCTGGCAGTTCAATGTGGGATGCAGGCTTCCCAAGCAGTTGCATAGCTTACTATGCCACAATGGCCTCTACAGTAAGGTGATTTCATTTCATTTTATTATTTAGATTGTGCCAATGAGGAAGGTTAACTGGAGGCATAATAGCCAAATCAAAGTGTGTAGTTTGTGTGATTGTTTAAAGCACTGTAAGAGAAAAGAGATCACGGTCAGAATTTCGCACAAAGTGGGTTGGGTAAATTTACACTTTATGCTTGCATTATGGTTAGGTTGAATTTGAATGGTTATGGAGTTTGGATAGGTACTGGAATTAGAATTTGAGTTACAAAATAAGACATTGGGATGGAGAGAATTGTGGTGTTAGAATTCTGAAGGATCTGACAATGGTTTGTTTTTTTCATTGCAGCCTGTTCCTGACTGGCACTGGACACAATTCAGCTTCTTCATTATGGTGGGCTCCAGTGGCAATGAATCCAGTGCCACCTATTTCATTCTGATAGGCCTGCCAGGTTTGGAAGAGGCTCAGTTCTGGCTGGCCTTCCCACTGTGCTCTCTCTATCTTATTGCTGTGCTAGGTAACCTGATGATCATCTACATAGTGCGGACTGAGCATAGCCTACATGAGCCGATGTATATTTTTCTCTGTATGCTTTCTGGTCTTGACATCCTCATTTCCACCTCATCCATGCCCAAAATGTTGGCCATCTTCTGGTTCAATTCTACAACCATCCAGTTTGATGCTTGTTTGATACAGATGTTTGCCATCCACTCCTTATCTGGGATGGAGTCTACAGTGCTACTGGCTATGGCCTTTGACCGCTATGTGGCCATCTGTCACCCACTACGCCATGCTACTGTACTCACGTTGCCTCGTGTCGCCAAGATTGGCATGGCTGCCGTGATTCGGGGTGCTGCACTAATGGCACCTCTTCCTGTCTTCATAAAACGACTACCTTTCTGCCATTCCAATATTCTTTCCCACTCATACTGTCTTCACCAAGATGTCATGAAGCTGGCCTGTGCTGACATCCATGTAAATGTCATCTATGGCCTCATCGTCATCATCTCCGCCATTGGCCTGGATTCGCTTCTCATCTCCTTCTCTTATTTACTTATCCTTAAGACTGTGTTGGGGTTGACACGTGAAGCCCAGGCAAAGGCCTTTGGTACTTGTGTCTCTCATGTGTGTGCTGTTTTCATATTCTATGTACCTTTCATTGGGTTATCTATGGTGCACCGCTTCAGTAAGCGGCGTGACTCTCTGCTGCCTGTCATCATGGCCAACATCTATCTGCTGGTTCCTCCTGTGCTCAACCCCATCGTCTATGGAGTGAAGACAAAAGAGATTCGGCAGCGCATCATTCGTCTCTTCCATGTGATCACGCATGCTTCAGATACCTAGGTGTCATGGATCCAACTTTTCCTCCATGCAGAGTCCTCCAATTCAGATGTCAATATTAGCATTTTGGAAGACAGTGTTAAGGGTATACAATGCAGATGCTTCAAAAATGAAACTGGTCTATGGGAGAGGGGGTGGTAGAACTGTATGTTCCTGATGCCCATTTTCAATATTGTTTTCTTTGATTTTTCTTTCTTCACCCATCTTGGGACTATGAGATGATTTTGGTTTAGGGTTATAGTTTAAAGCTTATCTATACAGTCCATTTATTTTCCAGAGTGCTAGGATATGGGGCTGTAGGTATGTTTGAGAAACATTGCCAAAGGCTTAAATATGACAAAAAAAAAAAAAATAAACACAAGCATATGGCGAAAATCAGCTCATATGGTTTAAAAGTATGAATTTACCTTTGGAGCTGCCAGCCATATTTGATGCTGGGCAAAGTGACACATTTAGATTTTCTTTTTTTCAAGCAACTCCCATAGAGAATAGAGGATTGTTTTCAAGGCAACAGTCCTGAAGGGGAATAGTAGAATCAAAGCCTTGGAATATTTCATTTGCCTCATTAGTGAAAGGTGGAACATTGTTTTGGGAGTTTCCAAAACTTGTGGAAACTCTTAACCCTACTTGACTTTATTATTGCCCTTTGGATTTAGGCATGGATGTTTTTACTACCTTTATTCTATCTGTGCAAATGCTGATGCTCACTGGAAATCAGTGAATTGTGTGAAGTCCCACAAGCTAAGATGGAGCCTTTTCACATACAATCCCACACTTATTTGGTAACTAGAATGGGGTGAGCAGTGGAGTCACTAGGATACCTGAGGGGCACTTTAGGAAGGGCAGCAATGGCAGCATCTAGCAGTCCATAGTATAATGGCAAGGCCAACTGCCTGCCATAGACCTGGAAGCCCAGAGAGACAGGCAGCAGGAGACTGCATGGGGCCAGTGGTCTGTAAGGCTAAGGCAAGGCAAGAACTTGTAAGAAAGTGAGGAAAGTACATCAGTGGATCTGGGATGTGTTCAGGGATTTGAGCTGCTCTAAAGGGATGATGGCAACACCAATGATTAGATAATAACACAAAAGGAATGGCAATACAACTTCATTCCTGCCACCTATGTTTAGAATGAGTATGGCTCAAAGTTCGAATAGGCAGTTCTACAAGTCAATCTTGGTCTTTTGGGAGGAGACAGAATAGGAAAGCTACAGGATCAATAGCTCTTTCAATACTGTTTTGCTATATATTAGGGGGTTTGGAATTTTTGTTTTTATTTTCATTCATTCAACAAGATGGATTTTTTTCCTATTAATTTTCTCACTGACTCATAGGTCACAATAACATCATTTATTTCAGGAAGGTCTTTGATTTTCTTTTTCATTTCTTCAGTGACATAGTGGTCATTCAGTAGCATGTTATTTAACTTCACATTGTTGTAAATTTTCTATGTTTATTATCTGTTGTTGATTTTATTTTATGGCTTTTCACTTAAGGGAATGTATCGCAACTGTGTAGTAGAGACTATCACACACAGATGTGAAGATACAATGCAGAATGTATCTCTGCTTGGCAAATCAAGACGGGCTCTTACTGAGACTGTTGAATGTATCTTGACAATAGGATGCTGGATTCTCTGCTATTGTCAATGCCTACAAAGTCAGGATACACTTAAGTAGTGGAATGATGGAATTATGACTGAATGTGGAGGACTATACTATTGTAATGACAAAGAGGACACTAATGGGGAGCAGGGATTTATGGAGAGGGGAAGGGGAACCTCAGAGCCTGTGGAATTGTATCATGAAATAATAAAATAAATAAATTAATTTAAAAAGAATAAAAATATTATAAAGATTTTGATGCTTGCTGCTCCATGGTTTTAATATTCATTTATGTGTGTGTTTCTGTCTAGCCATGTGATAAATGTGTGTTTCTGTTATCTTTGAAATCTTTTGATGGAAAATGAGCAGATAAATCAGAGAGTCTCATTTAAAAATTTTAGCGATACAGAATTATATGGGACATTAGAAGGAGTTACAAGTCTATGATAGTGAATGTAGCCAAGACAAGGTTTCATGAATATGTTCATGAATTATTTAACTATTTTTGAATATAAATATGCATCTTTATTTTTCAACAACCAATAAATTCTAAAAACAGCAGCAGTACTACCGCAGAAATATGTTAATTTCTAGATAAACTTTCTAATAATTTACTTCATGAAGACTCAATATAATCTTCTAGAAGGGCCTGGAGTTAACAAATAGTATGTTTCTGTCCTTTATAAGAAATTTGGTAGGAGAGTTAAGACGCGTTAGACAAAGACCTTCTTCTATGCCTTTCACATAAGCATCACTTCATCCTCCTGCGACCATTGTTTGGATTTTCTGGCTCTAGTCTTACCTCTTAGTCATTTGAACAACTAGTGGGTCTTAGAAAAATGTGAATAACATTTAATGTAAGTCACATACTTATTTTTTGAGGTTTAATCTAGAAATGTATTTTAAGCAAATCTTAGATTTCCCATTCTGTTACCAGCGCTGATTCACCTACTTAACCTCTTGCAATGATAGTTGAAACAACCTCCACAGTGGTATGCTTGGCTTAAATACGTTTCCCACCAGTCCTAAATCCTGTGAAGCTTCTTCCTCTGCTTAAAATCCAATGGAATTCTGTAATGGAGTTTCTGAACGAATCCAAACTGCTTAGACGAACAGTGCATTTCTACCTTATGTGCTCATTCCTGTTCTGTGTTATCCAGTATAGCATCATCTTGCTGCCTTCCCATGACTTCACATACTTTTAGCCACTGTTTCTTTCTTTGCTTTTGTCTAAACTGCTTGTTGCCATTTTTATTTTCACGATGTTTCATGATAGAAACTTTTTATTTATATGGTCTCGATATGTGTTCTCCATTCAATATTCGCAGGTCTCTTTAACCAACTTTGGAAATGGACTGTGTCTGATTTAACAGAGTTTAGAACAGTTGTGTCTTATCAACTCAGTACTATCTTTATATTGCTCCTGCAGTTGAGATAACATTTCCCTGAATGCAGTGTACAAGCATGCCAGAGGGTCTGCCTATGTTTAGATTTTTTGTAACAGGTAGACTTGAACCTGGGAATGTGTAATATTACAATATTTGTTTAGTGTTTCAGAGCCAATGTTAGTTGTTTATCTCTGAGACATGGAACTGAAAAATACTTCCCTGAAATCTTAAAGCATTTTATCTGAGGCTTGATTCAAGAGTAGTACAGCTGGTACAAAATCAGATTGTAATCTTTATGCAGCTAAGGAAACCAATAGGCCGCAGGACTTTCATGTTGAGAAAATAAAGTAGGGGGCCGGAGAAGTGGCTCAACAGGCTAAACCTCAGTCTGCAGTGCCTGCATCTCACGAGGGTGCTGGTTCATGTTCCAGATGCTCCACTTCCCACCAAGCTCCTTGCTTATGGCCAGGAAAAGCAGTGGAGGATGTCTCAAGTCTTTGAGTTCCTGAACTCACATAAGAAACCAGAAGAAGCACAGGGCCTCAGGCTTCAGATTGACTCAGTTCCCGCTGTTGTGGCTTCTGGAGGTGGACTAGCAGACTGAAAATCTTTGTTTCTCCTTCTATCTGTCAATGTGATCTGCCTTCCAAATAAAAATAAATAAATCTTTTCAAAAAAGGGAAACGAGAAATACTGGACCTATATGATCAATACACATTGTAAGCAGGTATTGAAATGTAGCCCCAAAGAGTATATAATTATTATTAATAGAAACTTAGCTAAAACTTGAGTTCTTTAGGACTATGATACAAGACCTGAATTTCTTGGTTCAGGTGCTACACACCTAAGGTGTTGGGAAAGTGACTTCATCAAATTAGGAGTTTGTAAGGGAGGAAAGGAAAAAGATACACTATATCTATAATTTCACGTTTTTAAAAATTTATTTTTATTAGAAAGGCAGATGTATACAGAGGAGGAGAGTCAAAGAGGAAGATCTTCCATCCAATGGTTCACTCTCTAAATGGCCACAACGACTGGTGCTGTGCCGATCGAATCCAGGAACCAGGAATTTCTTTCCAGGTCTCCCATGTGAGTGCAGTGTCCCAAGGCTCTGGGCTGTCCTCGACTGCTTTCCCAGGCCACAAGAAAGGGAGCTGGATGGGAAGTGGAGCTGCTGGGATTAGAACCGGCACCCATATGGGATCCTGGCACGTTCTAGGCAAGGACATTAACCGCTATGCTATCGTGCCGGATCCTGTAATTTCACATTTTAAAACGATACTTTCAACAAACATATATCAGCATCTAAGCGGATTCTCTAGGATTCATTTTCCCCACAGGAGCTCTTTATGAATCCAGAATATTTTCATGATGCGTGAAGCCTATCACTTCCAGTCAAAGAGTGCAGGGGACATGCTAGGATGGAAAAGCCAGTAGGCATCAGTAAATGAGAGGTTTGGTTCAACCAGTTGTGTTGTTTAATACATGTAGGTCATCTACTCCAAGTTGAAAACTTTCCCAGAAACTCTGGTAATAATTTATATGTGTTCTTCATCTCTAAAAGAGGAGAAGCTTAATGGATAGTAAACATCCCCAAATATTTATACATTAAAAGCTTTCTCCTATTCAAAATAATTTAGATCTGTCTCTACTCTCTCTCTGACTCAGCCATTCAAATGATTAAATAAATATTTAAAAATAATTTATGATGAAACAGTTCAAAATAGCATTCAGTTTCTGCTATTCCATTAATGTTACTAGGAGCTAATTATGTGTTGACACCTCTGGGCTAACAGTCTAGTTAAATGGTTGATGATTATACATGTGCAAGAAATAAGCATAGTCATCTGAAAAGTGGAAATTAGAATTAATTATGATTTTCTGAGAAGTTAGGCTTATAATTGACAAGTAAGAACGATAACTAGAAATGAGACCTGGTTAGTTAAAAAATGAGAATGATTCTGGCACAGAAAAATACTCTCTGGAAAGACTGAAACAAGATGAGAGCTTAAACTGATTAATCTTCTGGTCTCTAGTTTTACTCATGTCTCATGCACTTCTAATTTTCTAATTTTCAATTCATATTAGTAACTCTTCTTATAGCAAAATATTAAAAGGGTAATTTTTATAAATTAGATATAA